CCCCAAAACCCCAAAACCCCAAAACCCCAAAACCCCTATTTGTAGTGAAATATAGGGTATCAAATTATGTTTAGTTAAAATAAAATGAGTACTAGCCGTAAGACTTAATTTCGAACTTGGCTGAAGCTCTTGTGCGATATGCGTAGTGCCAAGTATGAGAGAAAGTTCTACCAAATGACAATTTCAAGTTCATTTTATTGACTAATTTCGACAATTGCTGTAAGGCTTAGAGCAAATTTTTATACATCTCAGCACTTTAGGCAATTTGGAAAGTTAATTTTGGAAATTTTAGAGAAGAAATCTAAGAAAAGATTAACTTCAAAAGACCCTGAAAAAGAAGCTGATCTTCGAAGGCAGAAAAAGCTAGCATCCAGAATCTCCAGGGAAAGAAGACACAGATAACATACTCGCTAGATGTTGTATCTAAATCTGACGCGAGAGCTCTGGGCAAGTTTTTATCTGATGCAAAAAATAAGTAAGATCAAAATGATCCAAGAGGCTAAGCAATTTTCTAAATTCAGCATTCTCTCTTCAACATATTTGAGGCTTTAAGCCAAACTCTTTGGGTCTAAATCCCCTATTTCGAAAATAAGGTAATCCAGTTCTGAACAGAAGGATAAAAGTCTGATAAAATCTTCAACAAATAAGATGGTTAAGGCAAGCAAGGAGTATGAGGAAAGCCAGGATTTACAGAATAGTGAACATTATAGTACTCTCGGCACTGAGGTGTATGAGAATATTCATGCTTTTAGAGGTAAATTTCACCGAAATGACTTCAAATCCGAATTTTTTAGCATATTTAGAAATTTGGTAAATATCTCATCTTGCTGGCTGGTTCTTCGGCCCCAAAACTTGCATGCATGAAGAAGTATGTTTAGAGAATATACTCGACCCTTTGTGGATTGAAAAAATTATAACTTAGTTACATCGAAAGGCTTGAAAGCAAAAATTAGCTAGACTAAAACCCTAAGATTTCTCCAATTGGTGGCATTAAAACTATCTTTGAAGGATGGAAAGCACTTTCTGCAGGTATCAGTCAAAACAAGAGTTTGTATAAGATTGCTATTAACAGATGCTGTTTGATCCCAGAGCATTTAGAACCATTAGCTTCATCCCTTGGCATGCACCCGATGGTAGAAACAATTGGTCTTAGTGCAAATAGAATCGAGGATATTTCCAGTCCATATCTAATCTCTAATATTAAATTTCAAACTGAAAAAAGAAATAGAGAGTTATGGATTAAAAGTCTTAGAAAAATTAGTGTCAAACGAGATAAAATTAAAAAGCGTAAATCTTAATTGAAGCATTTCAGGTTATGAATCAACTTTAATCAGGTAGGTGTATAAGTGTCTTTTAAATCCTTCAAATTTATCAAAAATGCTATATCTTAACTCTATTATAAAAGAATGCTAAAGTAAATACAGCTAAATCATGGCTTCAGAGCCCAAGCTCATTCCACGGATTTGGATTGGCCAAGATATTACTAAAGAAGAACGTTTAGGAGCCACTTTTGTCAAAAAGCTTGCCTTCGCAATGCAATTTGATGAATACATGAGGTATGCACTTATTAATTAAAGAATTTACTTTTTCTGTTTATTTCAGCAGATAGACTTAAAAATCATAATGTTAATGAGTTCCTCACTTATATGTTCAGATATATACCTGAGCAATAACCAGATCCGCTTCAAGCTTCCACAAGTTCTTTTAGAGTCTCTTGGGCACCACAAGAGCATCATCGGGCCTGACCTGCGTCAGAACCCTTGCGATAAAACCCGCTCAGGTATCACTTAGAAATCAGGCTTGACAAGAACATCGAAGTTGCTCTCAGATAGAGTCATTCTTTCCTATAAGTAAACATTAAATCCCCTCAAACTAACTTAAAAACCCCTCTAGGAGCGTTTTGAGACGTTTTTGTGCCATTTTGAGGCTAAATAGAGGTATCTGACTCTTCCTGTATAGCAGGAACCACATAGAGAATAAATTGGTGAATTAAGATCTACTGAAGATCGTCGATCTCAAAGGGTTTAAAGACTTTGTTGAACGGAAGACTAAAGTAATTGTGAAAGATAGTCTTGAGGATTCCCAGCAAGAGTGGTTCTTGGAGTGTGAAGGAAAAGATATTTAGAACAAAAGCTTTTAGCCTATTTAGATCTCTCTAAGTCTCTAAAAGGGTTTATTGGGTATCTTGCTGGTTGGGATTTTGATGATAGGGGATCTAGTAATTTGCAGTGAAGCCTTGGATCTTGTGAAATGATGACATTATCTGGGAATTTAGGGTTTTAGGGTATTTAAGAAGTTCTGATCGGGGTCTAGCTTATACTTTGTATTTTTTGAGGTATTAAATGTTTAAATTATGGTTTAGATAGGTATTTAATAGATTTTATAGAAAGTGAGACTAAGTCATTACCAAAAGAGAAGAATATAATAGAAGAGTTAGGAGATTATGGGCCGAAAATAAAATCTTTTCTTGAAATATTTTCTCTAAGTCTATTAAATGCTTGAGATAGTGCTTAATTTTAACTCCAAAATTTACGATATAACTCAAAAAACTACTAAAATGTTTTTAGATCTGTGAAACATCAAACGATATATCCTAGAGCTGTAAAATCAAGCAAAAATATTTTCTAAATCTTCAGCTAGCATCTTAAACCAACATGAAAAACTTCTCAAATCAGAAGAGTCATAGTTTATTGAAGGAGTCTAAAAAATCAAAATTATTAAGCCAAGAAAAGTATTTTTCCTAAATCTCAGTCTCAATCTACAGATTAAAAGTAGGATATTTATCGCCAAAGAAAAACAAGTTAGTGGATACAGAGACAGGCTTAGAGAGAATGCAGGCCTGTTCTACAAGAACATCTCGCAGTAGGTATCAAGCAGACTGAAGTTCGGAAAGTATTTCTTGACTAATCCATTCGTAGTAATAATTTCAGTTACAAATAAGCCTCTATCCATAATACAAATAATTATTCTATTGAGAAATCTTGTCCTCTAAGTCTTTCCCCGAGGGAAGAAGGAGAGGAGAAAGTGGCTACAAACAAATCATCTAAAAAGTAATGATATTTGGGACCCTTTTAGATATAAAAAGAAGGATTTACACTTCCATGTTCAAGGTAAACTGTGTATCTCAGTTATAAATCCTAGCAAGGTCTCTACTTCAGTCAGCTACAATATCATTCAGAGGTCCCAAGACAACTATGTCGTTGACTCTGAAGAGCTTAAGGAATATACAAGGTAATTTTTAATATTTAATCTAATAGAAATGAGTTTTAAGTCAAAAAAAATAGCAAAAGATACTCAAGAGAGCAGCACCAAAGTGAGAAGAAAATTAACGTTGCTAAAAATGCAGCTATACATAAATCTAATGAGCGACTATTAGAAAAGATGCCAGTCTTACTGATCTAATAACCTAGAAGGTCCATTAGCATACTCTTGCTTACCATATTCACTTCTTAATGTCTATTAAGATTCTATTTCTGATATAGGATACATTGACATTCATCTACGAAAGAGTGGTACAGCTAAAGCTAAAGGCAAATATAGAATGAAGAGGCATTCTAAGTGTGTGAAGAGGTACCACATGCCTAAAAACCAGATAAGCAGTAATATATAATCAACAGAGTAACAATTTACTACTTAAGATTTGCTTTCAATTGTGTTGTCCATTTGATGCTTTTTCATGTATCTAAGTAAGAAAAATTTGGGAAGGGGAGACCAGGTATAAACCTTCACATAGGAAAAATATTTAGATCTTCAATAGAATGACATACCCCATCTGTTCATTAGAAATTATTCTTAAAGCATTCTCTGGGTGGTTAACAACTCTAGTGAAAAAGAACCTGTGCTAACTTTTGCCAGGATACTAAATCTCAGACTGATCTGCAAAATAATGTGACTTATTAAAATTTCCACGCATGATCTACTTTCAAGCTTCTGCTAACACAAAGAGTTTCAGTTCTCTCCGGCATATACCATTAAAGGATATTTTAACATGAACAAGCTTAATATTGAACAAGGAAATTAGGATGCTCAGTGCTTAAAAAGATGACGCAGTTCTCATGTTGACATAAAATTCTACTCAAAAATACTTGGATAAGTTGGTAATACCAATCTTTTCAGTAAGTATATTAGAACTTTGATTAAGCTATTTCTAGTTGTCATAGTGTAGTTTGGAGGCACCAGTGCCTATACCTCTACGGTACCTAGCGGCCTTAAGAGTGTGCAAGATATTTCCTGCCCTTCTCATGTATCTAGGTCTACACCTAGCTCTGGGGGTCTGATTCACACTTTCCTTTGAATTTCAAGTTTGAATTTCTGAGGTTTTGATGAAACTGGCTCAATTCTTGTTGAAGGCTTCTTACGGATTATATATGCGCCCTGAGGTACGTTGGTAATCGAGGATTGCAAGAAACTTTCTCTCTGAAATTCTCCTCTTCTTGACCCATTGTTATCATAGTGGTTCAGCTTCCCGCTGCTTTTTGAATGTTTCATTTGGTTTGAAATACTAGTAGAACTATTGTTGAGAAGCAAATTGCTTTCTTTATAGGATCCTCGATTAATGCCAGAGTATCTGACCATTGTCTTGCTGACCTCATTGCTGTGGTCAGATTCCACCTGCATTATGTCATCTTCAGACTCTTCCTTACGATCAGAATGTTCAGACGAAAACTGGTTGAAAGCCGAATCACCAAGTCTCTGGTGATCATCATTTTCAGGTGAATAGACGTTATTTTTCTGTGCAAAATTGTGCTTATATCCTGTTCTTTTCTTTTTGGATAACCCATAAACAGCTTCATGTAGATCATGGTCAGAATCCTGGTCCTTGGCTTGCTCAAAATGCATATGAGAGTAAGACTTTCTAGTAGCTGGATTGTACTTTTGATCTTCATGGACAGCCAAGAAATCCTCCTGCTTCATATGAGATGTATCCTTTGAGCTATGAGGATTCAGCTCGAAGTAGCTGTAGCTATCTTCATGAATGTTATTAATAATTCTTTTGCCCTGCTCCTCGGGCATCCTCTGGGAGGAATAATTAGATTCACTTTTGTACTTGTCCAAGATCTCAATAGAGTCTTTATGATTTTCATGGGCCATGAGATACATGTCTTTCTCATACGATAGAGTTCTATTGAAGTTGAAGGAGTGCTGCTGAGGCTCTTGAGGGCACTCCTCAGGGCTATTACTCAAATACTTGTCTGCATTGTATCCACCTTTATTATTCACACAGGTCTCTATAAAAATGGTATCATAAAGGATGTTGAATTGTTTCGAAAATACTCGTCTGGAGTGTAAGAAGGCAAGATGCTTTAATAAGTACCTTTTTGCTTACTTGAACCTTCAGTTGAACTTTTCAACCTGTCTGCATATCTTAACGTATTTATTGTATGCTCAGTTGATGAGGAGTTAGGTGAAATGCAAGCAATCATAATCACCCGACTCTTGCTGAGACCACCCATGAAAGAATCTCTGAGCACCATGGTGAGTTTAGATCTTCTAAAAGGAATATGGTATTTGTCAGATTCCATAGCTCTGATACATTCTTTGAGGGAGAGGAGGGAGGTATTTATCTCAGCACCTTCTGTTCTTCTCGATTTATTGTTACTTTGGCTATCATGAGCTTTCTCAGAACCTGCCAAGTCGACTAGAAGGAGCTTCCCTGAATCGGAAATCACTCTGTTATTAGAATCAACTCTTTTAATATGTATCGTCCCTATTGCATGGGATCTACTTGAAGTATCATTACAAGCTGTAGATTTGGTTTTACGTTCGCTCAGACCATATTCGATCAGGTGTGTCATTTCTTCAGCAGTCTGGGCTTGGACTTCCTTCAATCCCGGAATTTTGATTTGCTTACTCCTAGACTCCTGTACCTTCTTTTCTTTATGCTTATCAAAAAGATCGAAGACCTTGCCATTATAGATTTCGTAGTAGGTTACCGTGAAAGTGTATAATGCTCCGGTTTCTTCTTTCATAATTTCTGCCCCGGCAAAGAAGTCAGTGATCACTAACTTTTGAACGTTTTCCATGGTAAATGTCTTCCCGGCTCCGGTCTGGCCGTATGCAAAGCATGTGACAATGCCACCATCGAATAAAAAGTCGATTTGGGGCTGGATGCTCGAAAAGTACAATGATTCGGAGCTCTCGTATTCCGAAAAGGTATTATCGAATTCAAATGCAGAATTTTCAATGTACTTGGTGATCCCATCTACCTTGGTCTTGCACTTATGGACCAGAATTGCTGGATTCGTACAGCTAATAATATCAAAATCGCCCTTATTAGCTTCTTTCATCAGTAGGGGTCTTTTCCTTACGCATATATTTATCCTGCTCAGGTCAGGAATCTTATGAGTCTCTGGAGGAGCGACGCGGGCACGTATGTTCTCCACCATGAGCTGGAAGTCAGTATCTCCCTTCCCACCCTTCTTAGAGGTGTAAGCTTCGTGGTTGAACTTTATTCTGGACTTGTCTTGCTGCTGTTTTCTTGCAGACTCTGCCTTCATATTTTATAAATTATTTAGGCTTCTCTGAATTCTATTTTTAAAACTTATCATGGGGTTTTGGGGTTTTGGGGTTTTGGGGTTTTGGGGTTTTGGGG